ATGGTTTCCCCTCCTCTCTCTCTCTCTCTCTCTCTCTCCATTCTTCTCCTCAGTTTGGTTCTCCACCACCTCTTACTCTCTCTCTCTATTTTTCTCCTCCTCAGTATGATTCCTCCCACCTCTCTCTCTCCTCCTCCTCAGTATGTTTCCCCCTCTCTCTTTCCTTTTATCCATTTTCTCCTCAGTATGGTTCCCCGTTCTTTTCCTCCTCGATATGTTTCCTCCCTCTCTCTCTCTCTCTCTTCTACCCTTTGGTAGAGTTGTCCTCTCTTTCTTCTCTTACTTGGGAAGGTCTTCCCTCCACCCTCTCTCTCTCTCTCTCTTCTCCTCCCCAGTATGATTCCCCCCCTCTCTCTCTTCTCCTCCTCAGTATGATTCCCCCACCTCTCTCTCTCTTCTCCTCCTCAGTATGATTCCCCCAACTCTCTCTCTTCTCCTCCTCAGTATGATTCCCCCAACCTCTCTCTTCTCCTCCTCAGTATGATTCCTCCTCCTCTCTTCTCCTCCTCAGTATGATTCCTCTCTCTCCTCCTCCTCCAGTATGATTCTTCCCACCTCTCTCTCTTCTCCTCCTCAGTATGATTCCCCCCCACCTCTCTCTCTCTCTTCTCCTCCTCAGTATGATTCCCCCCCTCCTCTCTCTTCTTCTCCTCAGTATGATTCTCCCCCCCACCCTCTCTCTCTCTTCTCCTCCTCAGTATGATTCCTCCCACCTCTCTCTTCTCCTCCTTAGTATGATTCCTCCCACGTCTCTCTCTTCTCCTCCTCAGTATGATTCTCCCCCACCTCTCTCTTCTCCTTTTCAGTATGTTTCCCCCTCTCTCTTTCCCTTTATTCATTTTCTCCTCAGTATAGTTCCCCATTCTTCTCCTCCTCAATATGTTTCCTTCCTCTCTCTCTCTCTCTCTCTCCCTCTTCTGCCCTTTGGTAGAGTTGTCCTCTTTTCCTCCTCCTCTTACTTGGGAAGGTCTTCCCTCCACCCTCTCTCTCTCTCTCAATCTACTCCTCACTATAGCCTTCCCACTCTCCTTTGCCGCTTCTCTCTCTTTCTCCCTCTATGTAAGATCTTTATGCTTGAGTGGTCATGTTTTCTTCCTTGGTAGTGTCCTTTTCTTCTCTACCTAGGTAGGCCCTGCTTTTTAGGGTTTGTTTTTTCTGCTCTCACTTCCCCCACCTTTTTTGTTTTTTAGCTGCTACTCTCCCTCTCTTGATTTTTCTTTCACTTTACTTTGGCCCCTAATTTTTTTTTTTTTTATATATTGCTTTCCATTTTCATTCATTTCCACTTCACTGTCTCCCTTGCACTCGACCTCAAATATTTCTATCAATATCACCCCTTTTTTAGTTGTTTTTTTTTTCCTCATATTACTCATCGCCGTATATTACCAACCCAATCCCTCAAAAGTGCCCCTCTTCTCAGCCATTGTTTCCCCTATCCATAAGCATATAGCCTAATATTAGAGGGCCCCTACCAACATTTCCCAGTTTAGATTCTATTGATTCCAGAAGTGCCTTTCCATCCCTGTTAGATTTGTTTCTTTGGCTGACCCCCACCATTTTTAAAGTTGGCCTCGCTACACATTCTGCTCGAAATAAATCGAATCCATTTTTCTCTTAGTTCATGTATTGGCATCCAGTACACGATGTGTGGAACAACAAGTTGAAAACATTCAACAAGGAAAATGAGGACGGTGAAGTGGGATTTAAAAGGTTTCGGTGGCTTTGGGCAGCATTTGTCATGGAGAAGGGATCTTTTCTTTTTCCTTCTCCCACTTCTTTTTCTTTTTTTTTTTTAACAACTGTGTACAGAACCCCTCCCCCATACAAGCCACTATTTATATTTCTCCCTTCTTCATATTATTTTCACTCCCTTCTTCATATTATTTTCACTCCCTTTATCTCAAGTAGGCATGATAGAATAATGAACTGTGGATAGGATTGAAGCATTCCAGTCAAGTTCATTGAATTCATGTATGTGCTAATACCCTTCAATAACGTATCAATCCAACTATTCCCCCCCCAACTATGGGTAAATAGTAATGACAAACTGGGTTCTGTAGCCTTGGGTGGAAACTGTTCTAGGAGAAGGAAAACTCTGAATTCAAAACTGTATGTAATCTTGGTAAGCATATAGTATGCAGATAAGGAAAGGATTGTTCGCATTGAGATAATGATCCTGACCATGGTCAACGCCTTTATCGCAACATGGATTGGTCCAGCCTGCTTCACTAATCACCAGAGAGGGTTTTCCTATTTGGATACTTTGTTAGACTGGTGATGAGAAAAAGTTGGTAATAAATGTTATCCTCATCTTGGTTGTTTTCGTCTCAATGATTAGAATCTTATTTTCTATTTGAATTTCTCAGTCGAGGGATTATCATTATTATACACTGATTTATTCAATCTGTTATCTTCATCGTGATTGTTTTAGTCTCAATGTTTAGAATCTTATTTTCTATTTGAATTTCTCAGATGAGGAATTATCATTATTATACACTGATTTATTCAATCTGTTATCCTCATCTTTCATGTTTTAGTCTCAATGTTTAGAATCTTATTTTCTATTTGAATTTTTCAGATGAGGAATTATCATTATTATACATTGATTTATTCAATCTGTTATCCTTATCTTTCATGTTTTAGTCTCAGTGTTTAGAATCTTATTTTATATTTCTCAGATGAATTTATAGTTGTGCAGAATTTCACAGGAAACCATTTACAAGTCGTCATCAAAATTCATACATAATAATGAAAGGGAAACTGTGGAGGGCCATGACTGTCAATTTTCTGAAACTATGGTATTTAGAACTGTAGTAAAGGCCTTGTAAAGCTTTCAGTTTTCTTTCCCAAGATGGCATTTAAATATAAAAAGAAAAAAACTGATGAATTTTGCTGTTTTTTCTCCAAAATGTTAGCTATTGAAGTTAAGCAACATTGAGACTGGTTAGTACCTAGATGGGTGACTGCTTTGAAATAGCAGGTGCTTGAATGTGCGGATGGGGTGTAATGAATGACAGCTGTTCATACTCCTTCTTGGTATTTTGAACAGGAGTAGAGGGTTATCCCTTGTTTCCTGTTTAGGATTGGATTTCCGTTTCCTTCTAAAGTCTGATTCAACTTTATACTCCTAACGCTTGTCTTTTCTTACACTAATACAACTCCACACATTAGCACTATACCTTGAGAGGCTCTGCCAGAATTCTGAAATTTTATTTGCTATTTATTTACTTCAGTATTGATCTATGTTTTTGAGATGAGGTATTATGTACACTATTTACATTATTTGGACTAATGTTTGACTATTGTCCGGTTTACACTCTGCCGCAGAATTTTGGACAGGAGTAGAGGTTTATCCCTTGTTTTCTGTTTAGGTTTCAGTTTCTAGTTCCTTCTCTTGCACAGCCAGTAGCCTCTTGCGTCTTAGCAGTGTTATCACCTTGTTTGGGGTGAATTGATTAAAAAAAAAATCCAATCGGGTTTGTTATATTCACATACACACAAATATATTTGGGAAAGGTATGAATTTACATCTACCCTCCGCTATGGGTTAATTAGTAAAACTTGTATCAGCCTATCATTATCATTTCCAAAACAATTCTTACAATCTAAAAAATATTTTTCTGGCTTTAAACAATCTACAAAAGCTGTAAAAACAAAACGGTGCTTCAAAAACAATCAAATATTACTCGCTCGTCAGCTGAACAGTAATAATTTATACAACAGTCTTCCCGGAGCTAAGCAAAGCCTCCATAATTAATACTTGGATCACTGTTGACTGTTAATTATGAAATTAATGCTGTCAGAGATGATCGTTTATATAGTTTCATCAGTGTTGGGGCATTTATTTCTGTGGGCTTGGCAAACTATGATTCATTAAGTGGTTTGTCATCTCTGGTGTTATGGCAGGATCAACTTTACGCAACATGAGAAAAAAGTTGTTACGATGACATTTCTTCACTTGTCAATAAATAAATGCAATTGTTCAAAACCGAGCATAAAAATTCCTTGTAGCATTCTGACCATTTTGACAAGTTGTTTATTGTCAGTGGGCAGGTTGGGTTTAAGGCTACATTGACCTTAATGTGGATTTGATGATGCAGTAATTGGAAGTTCAATCCTTGGAACAAGCAGTATGTATTTCAACAATTGCACACCATTTAATACAGGAGAATAAAAATTTCTTGAAAATGGTTAGCGAACTGACATTTTAATGCACCAGGCTATTGCCCCATGGGGCAATTCTCTGTGGAGAACTTGAAGCCTTAAACCTAGCCTACCTGATGATGCTGTTGCGGCTGCACATATGAGGATAGAGTAATTGTGAGTTCAATCCCTTGGCCTGGGAGTGTGTACTCACTTGAAACAGGATGAGCAATAACTGAGCAGTGCTAAAAAAAAAAAGAACTAGACAAGATATCCCGAGACATGGGCAGTGGAACGAGAACAATCTACCCCCGTAGATTAAATAAAGGATTCAGTTCAGAATTCCCTGAATATATTGATCCGGGTAACATACAGGGCAAGCAATAAATGAGCAGTACTAAAAATAAGAACTAGAGGAGATATCCCTAGACATGGGCAGTGGAATGAAAACAGTTTGCCACCGTAGATTAAATAAAGGGTTCAGTTCAGAATTCCCTGAATATATCGATCCGGGTAACATACAGGGCAAGCAATAAATGAGCAGTACTTAAAATAAGAACTAGAGGAGATATCCCTAGACATGGGCAATAGATCAAGAATAGTCTATCCCCATAGATTGAATAAAGGGTTCAGTTCAGAATTCCCTGTAGGTTAACCAGATCTATATACACCTGAGGAAGGCCAGACAGCACATCAGCCAAAATGTTATGATCTGGGTAACTTACAGAGTGAACTATAACTGAGCTGTATTAAAAATAAGAACTAGACGAGATATTCCTAGACATGGGCAGTGGAACAAGAACAGTCTGTCTCCATAGATTAAACAAAGGGATCTGTTTAATCACTGGGCCAGGCAG